AGAAATCAATAATGAATAGAATAAATATTGATAATTCAAGATGTTTCAGGGAGCAGGTCAACGTGCACACACACATAGCTTTATGATAAAGCACGTGAAACGCCATGTGTGTGTCGATTAAAACATGTTATGCTAAATAAACTCAGAAAAAAATATTTTGATAGGCTATACATGATAAGTGTATTTATTTTTTTAGAATTCAGTTTTGCCGAACATAAATGATTAAATGTTTTATTTCTGAAATAAAAAGTTTTTATATTGTTTGTCAACTCTGTCATGGATGATAGTAATGTTTAGAAATAATAATAAATCATAGCAAGAAAAATCCTAATGGATAGTTACTAAAATGGAACTGAATTGACAGTAACAATTTACAGTTTTACAACTTTTTAGCCAAACATTCTACTTGCTATAACTGCAAAGATCACTTGATACTAATGAAATCAGGATTAAAATATTTTTAAATTGTCCAATATGTGATTAATGATATATTCAGTTTTCCTTTTTTAATTGTGGTAATAGTATTGACAGTTTACAGTTTATACATATACAATTAAAATATTGGTGAATTTTCTTTTAAGAAAAGCAAAATAAAATATTTTTGATTGCACAATGATACATGATGAAAAAAAAAATACACTGACTAATTCGGACATCAAGAAGTCATGATTTTTGGTAATATGATCTTTGAAAATGTTGAACACATTTTACAAATAATCAAAAATGTAACAAATGTAATGTAACAAATTTTCAAAAGCTGAAAAAAGGTGCCTTTGGTCACTAAATGTAGCTGCAACTATAGAATCACCCATATAGTTGATAAAGAGCAACATGTTTTTTAGGAGTTTTCTTGCAAAACTTGGCAAACATCGCTTAAGCAAGCAAAGACTGAGATAAATATAATCTGCAGTACAAATAATAGTTTTAAAATAAAAGTTAGTTTGCTCTTTTTAAAATGACAGAGAACATTTAAAAAAAAAAAAAAAAAATATATATATATATATTGTCAGGGTTGGTGATGGGAAATGGGGAAAAAGGAGCGAGGACTCAAGTGCAGGAATAATGGGAATTTATTAAATAATAAAAATAAAATAAAATGCAAAATAAACTACCCCGAGGGGGAAAACATTAACAAAACAAATACATACAAACAGGACTGGGCAGGCTGGCAACGATGATAACTGGAAACATGACAAAACAAGGGTTTAAACAACAACATGTGATGACGAACTGGCACAGGACAGCAAAAGTGAGGGGTATATAAACTGTAGAAAATTAACACACAAACAGGTGAACACAATTAACTAATAATGGGTTAACAAGGAGGGTGGGACAAGACAATAGACGGGAGAGCGCATGACACAGAGACAACACAAGCCATGCGCTCACTTAACAGGACAAGAACATGCAGCCAATGAGAGAACTCATTAACTGCATGTTCATGACAACAAACACAACACTGAAGCACACGACAAAAGCACGTGACCACAATGTAAACACCAAGCCACGTGCTTTGACAAGAGACGCAAGACACGAGCACACGATAGATAAACACCTTACCGTGCGCTCACACATAAGCAACGCGCATGCTTCATCTCAGCGCCAACCAAAACTGAAACCAACTAGACGGAGGCACCGAGAATAAAGCAGCGCGCTGCTGACAGAACAAACACAAACACTAGTACAAGAGCGCGCGCGTCTGAGGGACGCAGAGCGTGCGCGGCCACATCAAGTGGCAGCGCGCACACTCTGCGTACACCCACGACGGCGCGCGCGCACACAGAGACAGAAACAGGACCAGACATGGAGTAGTGTCAGAGCTCTGCCACCAAAACAAGAATTTACAAGACCAAAGTGGCAGAACCCTGACATATATATAACTTTAAAATTACCTTTAAAATAATTGTTGTCATATATATATATATATATATATATATATATATATATTTTTTTTTTTTTTTTTTTTTTGGCCCACCTGAAATGTCAGTTAGCACACCCTAAAATTCCAAGCTGGAGCCGGGCCTGACACTACCATGAGTGAAACGCTTGGCGGAGCATCACACCACACAGCTCCGCTCAAATGCTCTAGTTTGGGGAAAACCAGGTACCGCTCATCACCAGGCTTACACCATCCCTACAGTGAAGCATGGTGGTGGCAGCATCATGCTGTGGGGATGTTTTTCAGCAGCAGTAACTTGATGACTAGTCAGAATGGAGGGAAAGATAAATGTAGCCATGTACAGCACAAAACCTGCACTTGACCTCAGACTGGGGTGACGGTTCATCTTCCAGCTGGACAATGGCCCCAAAGGACACAGTCAAAATATTAACGGAGTGGCTTCACAACACCTCAATGAATGCCCAGCCAGAGTCCAGACCAAATTATATTGAACATCTTCAGAGAGATCTGAAAATGACTGCACACCGTCGCTTCCCATCCAACCTGATAAAGCTTGAGAGGCACTGCTAAGAGGAATGGGCAAAAATTCCCAAAGACAGGTGTGACAAGCTTGTGGTATCATATTCAAAAATACTTGAGGCTGTAATTGCTGCCAAAGTTGCATCAACAAAGTATTGAGCAAATGCAGTGAATATGCATGTACATGTGATTATTCAGGTTTTTTTTTTTCTGATAATTGCAACAATTTCAAAATGTTTTTTTTAACATTGTCAATATGGGGTATTGTGTGTAGAATTTTAATTAATTAATTTCATTTTGGAATAAGGCTGTAACAAAATTTGTGGAAAAAGTGAAGTGCTATGAATACTTTCCGGATGCACGTTATCTCACCATGCGTTTATGATGCTACATTTAGTATTTTACACAGTGATGCAATATTGTTTTCAATAACTAGAACTTTTAAACCCATGTTTAAGTTTGTTTTCAAGCCCAAAGCCCTACAGTTGTGTAAATGAATGGCTAAAACACACACAAAGTTGCACACGCACACATACATGCAGGCATGCACACACGCACAGACACAGATTTTATTGTTATAAGGTACATTCTACCAGAAATGTACATTTTCTTTAATACAAATGTGACAGGGCCTAACCTTCATGCTTGTCCTTCTAACAAAAAACACCTTCAACTTCTCCTCCGTCAAACGATGTCAGAGCCTTAAAGTCTCCAAGAAATCAAAACTAAGTAAATGATTTCATTAGCTCATATTGCTGGTTTTGTAGCGATCAATTCATCTGTGCATATAAGTAATAATAAAAAAAATAGTTTGCCCTTCTAATCTTTAATTGAAATCTGAAAATGAACTTTCTGTTTTCAGTTTTACTCTCAGATTACGTGATTTTGAGGTAATGCCTTTGGCTAACATATTTAACCACTCTGGTTCAACTGTCAGTTTTGACAACAAACAGAAATGTTGAGCAGGAGGAGTCTGATCTTTTAGAATAATATGTCAATTTTACTACACACATTTGTACTGGGGTAGAAAAAAAACTAGCCACTCGTTTGTTCATTTAAAATTCCATTGTTCATTGGGACTTTAAAGGTGTATTGCATACATTTTACATAAAATTTTATGCAAATGTGACAGGACTGGCCAAAACAAGGGAACAATTGTAAAATAGTATTTATTTGTAGAATTTATTTATAATTTTGTGTTTTTAATCAATTGATGTGAATGATAAAAACATAAGCTTGCTATTCATAGTGTTTTTTATTCTAAATAACAGTGGAGCACAAAACTACTAAAGCTTTAGGTTCAGTTGGGCTGAGGACAAGGACAAAGATAAAGTATGTCAATTTGTTAAGATAAAAAAAATAAAATCTAAAAACCAAATGAATGCCATATTCTGTTACAGAAATACTCGCATAAATACTGTAATAATAATTCCTTACATTTATATAGCGCTTTTCTAGAAACAAGCACTTTCTGGACACAAGCTCTTTACAAATTGGGAGGAATCTCCTCATCCACCACCAGTGTGCAGCATCCACCTACATGACGCGAAGGCAGCCATACTGCACCAGACCAAACACCAGTGATGAAGCCAGTTATGATATGGGGATGATTAGGAGCCCCTGATGGACAGAGGCCAGTGGGCAAATTTGGCCAGGATGCTGGGGTTAAAACCTTACTTTTTTTTTTGAGTTACATCCTGGGATTTTTAACAACCACAGAGAGTCATGACCTCAGTTTAACATCTAATCTGAAAGACAGTGCTAACTGAGCAGTATAGAGTCCCCTTCACAATACTGGGGCATTAGGACCCACAAAGACCGCAGGTTGAGCGTCCCCCGCTGGCCTAATTAACACCACTTCTGGCAGCAACATAGTTTTCCCATGTGGTCTCCCGCCCAGGTACTTAGCTTCAGTGTGAGACCATCTAAGAGTTGCAGAGAGCTAGCTGCCGGCTATCAACAATCAGTTCATTTTAGAATTATTTTGGGGTGAAATACTTTTTATTCACTGAATTTATGTTTTTTTTTCCAAGGACAGATTACTACACGTTACTAGAATGTCCCATAAGGTTGCTATTGCACCTATACATTTCAGTCAAATTAAATTCAACAATTGTAGTACGTACCACAGCAGACACAGCAGGTAACTGAAAACAATTAAATGAAAATTTAAAAATATTTCACAAAAGTTAAAGTAAAATGCGCAAATAAAATGTACAACATCATTTTTTTTTCTTTAAGCAGTTTTTATAAGAACTAAACTTGATTTGTTTCTTATTAAAAGAAACAAAAGTCCATCAGTCAAGAGATGTAGGTGAATTTTATTATTTAATAACAATAAAAACAGTCTGCAGGTAGAATATAGCCCACTGTCACGCACAGGTTCGATTTGTTAGACATGCATTTTCATTATTAGCTCCTAGAACAGCACAAGTTCTCATATTCCATGATTTTTTCCTGAAAGTTTTGTGGAGAAACAAATCCAACCTACTGGAAAATAAACTAAAATTGAATTTTGAGTAATTACACAGCCCTTGGTCAATCCACATGAGTTTTCAGTTTCATCAGAAAACTGACTCACCAGATATAGTAGATGTAGCTGCTCTCCACATGTGGAACCAAACATAAGGGCCCAACGTCAGGTTTGACTTCAAAACAAACGTGAAAAAATGGAAGTTACATTTATGTACTATACGACTTTAACCTTTACACTTTTTATTTCTCACTTTGGACATCTTTAAGCTTCATTGAGAAGATTTGTTGAAGCACACGTACTGCGTCTCTGGAGGACAGAAGGTCTTTCTTTGCGTTCTGCTTGTTGTCCTCCTCCTCATCTGTACTGTATTCTTCCATGGTTTCACCACTGGAGAAATGAATAATGCGACGTGGGATCTTCTCTTTTCTGTCCAGATCACCAAGCTCCACACATTCATATTCCTTCTCTTTTCCAGAGATCTGTCCACAGACACAAATATATGCCATCTAAATTAAGCATATGTTAATTACAACGTAAAGCACTTTTAAATGAGGGAAGAAATCTGTATTGTAAAAAGAAATGAATAGTAGTCTTACAAAGACCACAGTACAGTTACTATACCTAAACCATTAAAGCATTCAAATCCATTTTGACTAGAGATAAATAAATTCACTTTGCAAGTGTGTCCTTTTTTTACAAGTTTAAAAATGGCTTTACCAAGTAATGGCAAAGAATAAAATATAATAGGACCACTTGAAAATTCTGTTTGTCTTAAATTATGATGTATATAATTGGGTAAAATGTTATCACTTGTTGTATTCTATATAGGTTTGTATTAGTTGTATTCTATTAATTACCAAACATTAATTTCTCAACTCTACAGACAGGCTTAGTCAAAAAATGTAAATATAATTCTGACTTTCTTTTGTTATTTCACACACAAACACACACACATGCTCTAAATGACAAGCCTTGCAATGTATGTGCTATTTGAATATTATGTATGTGCTATTTGTAATAATAATCCGTTTCTCCTTTTTGCGATTAATTTTGAAATTAAAACATTGTAATATTCCCTCACAAGTTGTTCGAGGTTGACATTATAAAAATGTAAAGTTACATAAAACCTACTTACATTGTTTTGTTAGTCTAACGTTTTAAAACAAGTTAACATATTTTTTGTATAATTGTAGTAAAAAGACGTTGTGTGGTGAAAAACACAGTAAATAAACAGTTCGGTAGGTTAGAAACTATTTAATGTTAACTTTAATGTTAACGTTAACTTAGGTAGATTGCAGATCTTATAATTAAAACATGAACAAACTTTTATTTGAATTTATCAGGATTTAGATTGAATAATTAGTTGATATATATATATATATATATATATATATATATATATATATATATATATATATATATATATATATATATATATATGTATATATATATATATATATATATATATACATACATGTATATATAAAACGTTACGCATGATTTAAATTAGTCAGATGTACAGCTGTTTAATTTACCTTGTCAGGCTCCATGTCCTGTAGGACAGTTATACTGACGCTGGAGAGAAAAAATGAGATTTTTGCCATCGCTATTGTGTATCAACTCCTCAGTGCAATAACATCAGCCGCCTTCACCGGGTGGAGCTTTTATCTATCACTGTACGTCTCTAGGGTAAAAGCACGTCATAAACATTACACTTGCGCCACCTGCCGTTCGGGAGCGGGAATCTAAGTCAACTTCCAGATTTTCTTAATTATAGTAATAATAATAATATTGATAATAATACATTCATTTATTTTCTTTTTAGCTTAGTCCCTTTTTTAATCCAGAGTCATCACAGCAGAATGAACCGTCAACTTCTCCAGCACGTTTTACATAGCAGATGCTCTTCCAGCAAATCCAAGTAAAACACGGCATCCACAATTCCAATACTCAAACAATATACTTAATTATATTACGACTTATGCAAAATCATAAACATAAAAATATTTTTTAACTATTAGAAAAAAAGCCATACTAGTTTATAAACAACTCCCTCTTCAAATCTGTTCAAAACAAAGTGCAAAATGAGTACAACCAATAAAACCAAACACATCAGGAAAATTATCAATGTGAAAACCACATTTTTCAGAGTCATTGTTGAATTCACCATTGCCTGTCACTTCTTGGGTAGGTCAAGAATAATTTCACAATACTGCTTCAGAAGGCCAGTCAAGCTTTAAAACAGAAAAGAGAAAGTACACTTTACATACTATTTTTGTTACATCTTTATACAGCACATGTGCCATGTTGACATTTAATTTTGACACTGAGAATGAAAAGGATCTGCAAAGTCACTGCAGAAAGAAACAGGCTGCGTCCAAAACTGCCTACCACTCAGCAGGCATTGCATTTGAATTCAAACGTACTGCTCGAGCGTTAGAAAAGTCTATACAGTATGAATGTGAAAAGTATGAATGGAATTCGAACGTACTACATCTACATTTTGTCATGGTCACGTGATCTGCGTCAGTTGCGTCGCTTCACTCCCATTCATGAATTCTCTCACGGTTTTAAGCATTAATAAAAAAATAAAAAATAATTTCTCTCAGGGGGCATCATGAGACAGCGCAGCGTTCATGGAATGCACACTCCAGAATCTCGGCAGAAGTAGTAAGTCATTCGGGTACTTCTCACATAATGATTTTCGAATTCTAGGACATACTACTTGGCTCGCATTCTGATTTTAGCATACTATATAGCATGGAAGTATATGGTTTCAGACACAGCCACAGTCTTGGTAAACAGTTTATTCACAGAAACTATGTAAACTTGCGTGTTTTTGTGTTGTTTTAGCATTCATTTAGGAGTATCAATGAACAAGACTGGTGTTTAACTTAACCTTTGTGCACTGTTTAAATTGACTACCCTTTTGTTTGTTCAGGATGAAAACATGCTGTCAAAATTAGTGTGTTAACACATGCGATTAATTTGAAGTAATTAACGCGTTAAAAAATTAACGCAATTAATGTAGTTGCATTTTTTTTATTTCATGTTGTGGCCGTGGTGTGTACAACATGCAAAAATATGGATAAGACCAAGAAAGCACTTTTTTAGACAAGTTTCAGTAAAAAAATAATTAATAGCCCCTATCACAAAGTGATACCGGTAAATATCTGGAAAATTTCTGGTGTTACGGTTTAACTGGTGACCGTTTTAACTGGTGTCCCTTTCCAGATGTAAGCTATTCACGTTTGCAGATTGGCAGATTCGTCACTTTTTCACAGCAACAAAACATGTTCATACCAAATAAAGATTCTTACTTGGTTGTCAGTGTCATTGTGTGCATTATTGATTTTAATATCTGTGTAGCAGAACAGTATATAACCAAACTAAATCTAAAAACTAATTAGAATTTACACGTCTTCAACAGGATTCGTACCCGTGTAGTGAAAAGGTTTAGCACACGTATCAATCAACTTATCTAATTGAGCTACTCGGATCATCAATCGAAGCGGTCTGTTTTAATATGTTTGTCAGTTATGCAGTTATGCATTCTACAAACTCTCCCGCTGATAGAATAGCTCTCTCTGACTAAACGATGCTTCATCAGTTGCTCAAACCATGTTTTTTCTTAGCTCTAGACTCATGTCTACCTGTGCCTTTGGAGTCGTGTTAACTCGTGACCCATGCTCATACATGTAACGTAAATAAAGATTTTATATTTAAAAAAAAAGAATACAATGACGATATTATTATGCAACATATTATGTCTAATATATAATATATATTTCATATATAATATTATGCAACAGAATATTAATTGAAAATCGCAACATTTCAATGTATTATCTTGGTCACATCTGTTTCAAGGCACATATGAACATGATTTGGCTACATCCGATAAAACTACTAAATGCTGCTAAGTCTTCGTCAGTGCTTGATAGCTCAACTTGATAGCATATGTAATGCTTTCTTGCGTCTCTTTTGTTAGTAGGTTCGAATCCACGTACAAGTTTTGTTTATGTAGCCTGATTTTTTAAATTCTGTTTAAAATAAAATCAGGGGAAGACTGCGATTTATAACGTATGCTTATTTAGCGGAACATCGTAGTCATTTAGAGCTATTCTGAGAAAATATCAGCTCGTGTGACTGTAGACACAGGATAACAGGAGTCAATGGGACTATTATATTCTGATTGCATAATATTATATATAAAATATATATTATATATATTAGACATAATATGTTGCATAATAATATCGTCATTGTATTCATTTTTTTGATAAAATCTTTATTTACGTTACATGTATGAGCATGGGTCACGAGTTAACACGACTCCAAAGGCACAGGTAGACATGAGTCTAGAGCTAAGAAAAAACATGGTTTGAGCAACTGATGAAGCATCGTTTAGTCACAGAGAGCTATTCTATCAGCGGGAGAGTTTGTAGAAACACGTTAACGCGAGTACATGTAACTAAACAGCATGTAAACATGTTAACATCGATGGAAACATGTTAACACAGGTCCACAACCACAGCAAGGCATGCTTTAACTGAGAAACATATTAAAACAGACCGTTATATGTGAGTTTCCGAGTAGCTCAGTTAGATAAGTCATTGAAATGTGTGCTACACCTTTTCACTACACGGGTTTGAATCCTGTTGAAGACATGTAAATTCTAATTATTTTTTTTAGATTTATTTTGGTTATATACTGTTCTGCTACACAGATATTAAAATCAATAATGCTCACAATGCCACTGACACCAAGTAATAAGAATCTTTATTTGGTATAGACATGTTTTGTTGCTGTAAAAAAAGTGAGGGATCTGCCAATCTGCAAACGTGAATAGCTTACATCTGGAAAGGGACACCAGTTAACACGGTCACCAGTTAAACCGTAACACCGGAACGACTTTACCGGTATATTCAAAAAAGGGGCTAATGTCGCATTAAGAGATTTTTTGGTCGATATAGGTAACTGGTAACTTCAGATTTGGAAGCCAATAGCTGATATATATATAGGCCGACAATTATAAATATTTCAAAATGTTATATTTTTATACAGCAAACTTCATAAAAGATTGAACTGCTCTTATGAACTGAATAGTCTATACTCAAAGTAAAAATGCTATAATTTCAAAATTGCAAGGTGATTATATAGACCTATATTCACGATTTCACATAAATCAGCATGCAAACAAGAATTCATTTCCTTTTCTTCATAGCAAATTAACATTCAACTTGACTGTTTCATAAAAATAATAGGTTAAATAACAAAATGGGATTTATTCAACGAGCAAGTTAAATATATTTTAAATAAAATGAAAGAGGCAAAGAGCTAAAAACTGAAACCAGCTCAAATGTTCTTGAACAAAACATGTTACAGTTATGTACATATGCACAAATATGTAATGTCCGAAAAAAGCCTTTTTAGAGGTGTTATGACAGTTCAGAGCCACTGTACAAGCGAAAAGCTAAATACAGATTGCATTACTTTAGAATATGCGGCATAGATTCATCCTATTTGGCGTTTTAGATTCTTTTGAACACATGTACCTACTGCTTATTAATCAGACAATGCTTCTATGTTCATCCTAGGCTTTGATGCATTGTTAGATTTTCATTTTTTTTTCTCTGATTTACTGTTTTTGTTTTTGCCCCATTGACTTTCATTACAATCACATTTGATGGTGCAAAAACACCAACACTTTGTTTTTGTTTACTCCATGTACTATAGTTTTGAAAGCTAAGATTTTCTCAGACACATCAAGGTAATTGTGCAAAGGTCACTCTCACACACTCACAGACACACACACTTTAATTTGCTGTTAACACTCCATATAACATCCAGAAATTAAGCTTTTTGTGCACAGGACTATCTAAAGGTTAATGGTGCCAACTGATGATCAACAGAAAAAAATGACAAATTTTACCTTTTCACAAGAGCAAAACCACCAACAATCAAACCTGCATGATTATATGGTGTCATTGTTTTGCAAACCAAAAACTGAGGTTATAATGGAAGTCAATGGGACAAAAACAGCCACCAACAATAAATTGTGAAAATAATAAAAATCTAACAGTGCATCAAAGCTAATGTTTTTTCTAATTATTCACATATCCAAGACTGATAAAACTTAAAATTGCAAACAAATCCAGTCCACAATTAGTTTTTATATTGAATATACATCATTTGGTGTGGTTTCATCAAATCAGTGATCAGTGACATAATTTATGAATTTGGCAATTAAAGTTAAAATTAGAGTTAAAATCCTGTAATTGTCTAAGCAATTTAGTAGTTTTGATCAGGACTGAGTTTGCTTAACGGATTTATGCAAAAAACAAATGTATATATACAGGGCCGGAGTGGGACTCCTTTTCAGCCCTGGAGTTTCAAGCCTCAGACCGGCCCACCTCAGTTCACGACTGACTATATTAAAATAAGATCATTTCCAATTCAGTTTCTAATTACACTATCACGTCTTTTTTTTTTTGAGAAAACAGCTGCTTAAAAACTTCAAATGTTCAACAACCCAAACAGTATTATATGTTTCAACAGTAAAAATGAAAATAATAACATACTCAGACGTGGATCAAATCCGGATCGACGACGTTGTATTTTAACGTGCTAACCACTGGACCACAACGATTGTACAGTGAAAGGTGGCTTATATCATTATTAACCTGTTA